CTTTATATGACTGATATGAGAAATAAACTATAGGATATATGAGAAAGTATTGGGTTTATCATAGGCAGTTAGTAAATGGTAACAAAATAATTCACAGTTGTGTGATAATTCACATTGGTTTGGTAATTGTCCTGGCCTATTGGCCAGTTCTCAATAATGTTATCTATAATTCACTTTCTACTTTATTTGAACTGCATGGTCCAGAACTAATTTTGCTTATTTCCCTTTTATTGGTTCTAAACACATGTATGTAGCCCTCATTTTCAACTAAATACAAGAGCGACATTTTCAGATTTAGGGGAAAATTTTTAGTTGAGTGTTCAAAATCATCTAATTAAGTTCTTCAAATGCAATTTTATTTTTTTCTTAATAAGAACAGGGCACAAATAAATACCTTGAGAGAATCCCTCATTTACAAGGGTGAAATCTGTAGACCTGCTATTAATTTTCACAGTTTCTGGTTAGTTATAATCAAATGCCAAATTGCCATCTACATAACATTTTGCAATGAACTTTTTCATTCACATGACATTTGCCTTTTATGAACTACTACTTTTGTAGACTCATTATCACTTATTTGCTCCTTTACCAACAAATGAAGAAAGAGTCTCTCTTTAGGATTTCTTTGTAAAACAAAATTTAATTAATCCATATAATTTCTGTTTCCTACAAATGTGCTTCATGTTTTGTTCCAGAGGCTCTTTTCAGAACTGGAGAATAGGTTAATCTCTGCAGTGGTTCTACCTGTAGTTCTGAAGCAGGAAGTTTGAAATAGGCAAGGGACCCATATGAGGTCACACAGAAGCCTTGATTTTGACTTTCCTGGTAATGAGAAGCTCCTACTCTGAGGTATTCATCCATTTGTTCACTCACTTATCAAACATTTGTTAGGGCCATGAGTGTTAATGTGTCACCTTCTGGACTAAGGCAGAAGCCCAGAATTTTTGACCAGCAATGGTGAAAAGCATCAGCTTTGGAGCCACAATAGTCTGGGCTGAAATCTGCCCAGACTGGCTCCACTACATACATGCAGTTTATTCAACTTGTTAATAGTTTTTCAATTTACATGACTGTTTTTACATAACAGAGGCAGCCAACTTTACTAAATTACATGATTACTCTTTATAATTTATTAATTTTATCATATTACACTATATTTTTATCTTTGGATATTTTAAGAACATAAAGAGGTGCAATTTCCTTCATCCCTTTACTGTAATTTTCATCATGTCTATAGTCTTTGTCTTCTTAATATTGAGACTTCTAAAGAGCCTGTCCCTAAGTCACCCCTACGATCCGGCGCAGGCTCCCGAGAAGTGTGCAGAAGTGATGGCAGCAGCGGGGAATAAAGCTGGGTGAAACCGGGGAATAAAGCTGGGTGAAACCGAGAACTGCATTCCTGGGCCTGGAGGCCTGGCAATAGATTTGATGAGGTTGCTACACCCAGTCTTTCTGCTTTTTGTGCTTCTTGCCCTCTTTCATGTTATTCCTCCGCTTTCTGACTGTCTGAGTTTGAGACGTGTCCTATTTCCGATTGCCTCTTTTTTCCTGACTTATATACTACAATGACCATGCCTGAGGATCTCTGAGATCACTGATGGGAGCTGTGTTCATACAGACGCATGTTACCGAGAAACCCTGTTCTGATTCAAAAGTGCCAAATTAGATCTTGTTCAAATGGGCACAGAGTCTGATAGGCCCTCAATAACTGTTTCGCTGCAACTGAATGTGCTCCTCCTCTCCCTGGAGGGTCATAGTAAGAAGCCTGAGGAGAGGAGGGAGGGGCACTTGACTGGCAGCAGAATGTTCAAAGACTTAAGACATCAGAGGAGAGGGGAGTCCTCTTTCCAGCTGGTGGAATGGGAAATCAAGACGCACAGACACCAAAACCGCATATGGTTCCTCTTGGACGAGCTCTAAAGCCTGCCGTGGGTCTGCAGGTCTGTTTTGTTTTGGCCACCAACGTCCTCTAAAGGAAATTGAATTTGAACATCCTTAAGTAAGACAAGTGTTCTTTGGTTTCAGTAGTTCCTACCTTTCTATGTTTGCCATTTTTTTTTTGCGACTTTTCATTTTAACTCTTAAAATGAGTCCAACCTAGTTTTATTTTCTTGGTTTTTTCTATTCACACTCCAAAGGAGGAACTACAACTCTGTATCAGGAATCAGAAATTTCTACAAAACAAGATTACTTTGTTCCCTGGACTGTGGGAAGCTTGAGGATCCAGGCTTGATTTCATCCATATATTCCAAAAAAGCTTAAAAAAAAATCAGCGGGGCAGATCTTGTTTGTCTTTAACATGCTTACTTATGAAAAGTCCAATTCTGGCAAATGGTAGTATGTGAATTCAAAAGGAGTGTACCTTTAATAATAAGAGAATGCTTTAGACAAAACTTAACCTCTGTATTATACTATGGTTTAACATCACTGCAGTATTTCTGTTTACTTTATTTTCCTAATCTAAAATAATAACATAGAAACTTAACAGATCAGTAACTGTAAGTGTATTACCTTCATGATTGCAGAACCTTTCTGATATAATTGTCTGGACTGAATAACTGAGTGTTTGGAGGATCATGGTATAGCAGGAAAGTATTGCTTTCCTGGATAAAAAATTAATGTTGGAATACTTTTGGTGCTGTTCTGTGTTAGACAGCACTGCATGTGATGCAATCCACTGATTCAATATTCCTGGGCTTGGGAATAGATATTTTTATCTTGTATGAGTGTCATCCATTTCAAAGACATGTTATCTCTTTGTTCCCAAGTAATTAAATAACTTGACTTAATTTGGGCAAAGACAAACATTCAGGACAAATTAAGAAGTAAGTAAAATTGAAAAGTTACTCTATATAATTGTAAAATCTTAGTATTCTCAGACTTGTAATATATTCCTCAACTTCATCCTTTGCCCTGTACACATTGCCTACGAATCTCAACTGGCCATTTTATTGGCAAAATCTCTTGTCAATCTGAAAAGCAGTGTTAATTCATTTCCTAACTCTTTTGGTCATCCATGTATACCAAGCCCCATATCCAGCAACAGAGCTATTTTTGTCTCCATAGACATTCAATCAGTGCAATGCAGACTGGCTTCAAATCTGAAATGAGCACCAGGGAAGATTCACTTTTAACAAAGTACAATCAAAAATTAAAAGCCAAACAAAGTGCTCCTGGCAAGTACAGATCTTCTCAAGGCAAGGATGATATGCAAATGGCAAGAAAGCAGCAGTAAGTCATTTGTGACTACAGCTCACAAACTGACTGGATTGTACTGAACTGAATCGAGTAACAAATAAGGAATGTGGAGGATATACCTCATACTGGCCTCACAATTTTTATTCCTTCTAACTCGAGGCACCATAGAGAGAGGAATGACTAAACCTCTATTTTAATAGCTGCTGTCAAGAGTGTTGCTCTGTAGGGCCTATTTCAGCAGTTCCTGGTGGTAATATATGGCATTTCCCTGATTAACAGCCATTTTATAACTTCTGTAATTGGCCACAAATCAGAGGAATGTCATAATGTAGCAAGAAAACATTCCCATCTTCGTCAGAGCGTTGGCTTGGATTTCTAGAGGAATTATGACTTCAGTAGTTTGTGGGTTTCATTATTTTAAATAATGTACTACCTGCAGTACAAAAAAAGACATTTAAACTAATGAACATTTCTGTCTCCTAACTTGTTCTACAATGCCTACCCTTAGATTTCTTTTTCCCTTGGAAAAAATGCCTAAAAAGGAAATTCTTTCTTCATTTTTATAGTGCCAGTTATTTGTGGGGAAATAGAGGCAAGGGCAGGGCAGGGAGCCAGTTGAGGTGACTGAGGCATTCACCTCAGGTGTGAAATTTGAAGGGGCACCAACAATCTCAGTATTCAAGGTAAAACTATTTTGACATGATATTTAAAAATTGAAATTAATTAAAAATATATCAATGATGAACAAAACATTAAAATTTTAGGTAAAAAACAGGACCTGACCTTGCACCTGCATGACTCACCTTCTCTACCTCACCCTAGCTGCCGCTCCAGCACGGGCACAGGATAGGAAGAGGTGACCACAAAGTCATGAGATCAACGCAATTTGTCCAAAAGGAAAACAGGCCTTGACTCATTATAATTACTCTTGAGTTGATAATAAGAGCAATCTCCTGCACAGAATTATGTATAGAGGAAGCCTTGTTTCACCGCTGATACACAGTCCAAAGCATTTTACTATCAAGGTGCCATCTTTGGAGACAAAATGTAATTCCATAACAGCCTCTACTGGAGGCCAAGAACTATTCATTTAGGGCATGACAAATATAAATGACTATAAAACCCTTTCTCTTTCTTAGGTTAGTAAAGAGAGACACTATTCCTTAATTTAAAAACTATGCTTATTTCCTGATCTGAGCAGAAACTGTGACATTATATACTAGAAATATAGTTAGAGATCTTATGTATATCCTCACAAAGATGAAATGCATGCCCACAGTTGGAGTGGTTTGAAAAGTCTATGAGAGAGATGTGACTAGAGAAGGGACATGTCATTCAGATGTGGTGTTAGGTTTTCTAGAGAAGATAACATCTGAGCTAAATCTTGAATGTCTGGTAGAAGGTAGTTAGAGAAAAAAGAAAGAGGGACGATGAAGCATTTATGCTGTATTTGCCTGATTCATTCCTTTGTGACTGTCACTTCTGAAGGCAGAAGAAAGTGGGATTTTGTGTGGTTAAAATTCCATCATGCTTTCACTTAAAAGTTACTAAACATTAGATATAGGTAAAATGATGCTATAAAAATTAGGTATAAAATGATATAATATTACCCAATGCAAAATGAAAGTGAAGACAAAATATTATAAATCTGGTGAGATAGTTTACGTACATTATATCCAGATAATAAAAATAATAATAGAAATCATGCCGAAACTATAACACTTTTCTAATCATGTAATAAAATGTCTTACCAATTACAACTACAATTGACCTGAAAATAATAATAAAAATGGGTCACTAACCTTTTACATTATTTGCTAATTTCTTGGCTTCGTTAAGAATCCCAAAGCTTTTCTGAAGAGAACCTTTGGCACCTTCCTTTAATGAACCCTGAGGACCTGTTGCCTGTAGACAGAAGAAAAAAGTGTCACATCCAAAACCACAGAATTATGGAGAGATATCTAGCAGGTAAGTTGATATACAGAGTTTACTTTCAGAACAGCATTCTGGACTACAGATTTAGAATAATAAATTAAATAAATTAACAGTAATGTATTGGTGATTAAAATTAGTAGATTATTGGGAAATGGGAAGGTCTATAAGAGAAGCCTTAGGATTCCAAAAATGTAAGGAACACGTATAGAAAGTAGGTCTGGCAAAGTAACTGAGATTCTAGCAAGGACAAAGTGAGACTATGGTAATATAATATTATGGAAATGAAGAGATAAAGAAGTATCTGCAAGCATGATGGCTGGCAATGTTGCAAGGGCATATCCGGTCAGTGTTATCAAGGGCTGAAGAACAGTCAAGCAAATTAACATCTGAACACATCCACTGATTTTATCCCGAAGCACATTTCACTTGCATCTTGGGGGAAAAGCATTTCCTGTCCCTTAGGTGTTGAAATGAGAAAGAACATTGCTCCTTTTCTAAATGCATCTCAAAGTACTATGGCAAAACAAAATCTTCTAAATGACACTCTCTGAACCACAATCATCTCCTAGCAAAACATATTTGTTGAGCCTTGGATTAAAAGAGGTGACACAAAGATAATAGAAAGTTATGGAAAAAGAATCATTTAACTTGAATGTCTAGTTATCCATTTTAATAGAGTTTGTTCCTCAGCAATCAGTACATAATATGTTATACCAAGAGATAAATCAAATAAGATCTTATGTTAAATTTTAAATTGGAAAAGTATTTTGGGGTGCTGGAAGAGCTAGATAATGCTAAACACTAACTGCTGAAATCATAAATCTGAACTCAGGTTACCTCAGACATAAGACTCTTCAATGACATTTGCAGGGACTTAACTTCTTTCCTTGCACTGGTCACATTATTTGAGTATTAAATATGGAAAGATTACAAAATTTTGTACTGTTGTGGTAAATGTATCTTAAGTTATACCAACAGCTTTCATTTAAATAATCTATTGCTTACAGAACAGATTGATTATATAATGCTATGATATCTACGAATGAACACATTAGAAACATCTATATAAATAAAAGGGACATTGTGCATATGTATCTTGCATGTGTAAAAGAGGTGATAATCCTGGCAAATTATTCTATGGAAAATGAAGAATCTCTTCAACTGAAAACATAGAAATTCTTGGTCCTACAGTTTTCACTGGAAATTAGACACAACATTATATAAATATCATTTATCTTGAAAAATAAGCAAGTGCCAATATAAATGGAACAAATCCAATGTACCTTATTAAAAAAAGTGAACCTCAATTACCCATCCAGGTTCTATATTTGTTCCAAATCTATATGCCATTCTTATTTCCTTGGTTACAAATTTTTGAATCAAAACAAGTTAGAAAGAAATTACAAAAAAAGGAAGACAAATATTCTCTCAGTAAGTACTTGAAAACGGCAGAAGTGACAGCTGATAATCTATCTGACAATGAGGAAATAGAAAACTAACAAGTGGAGAGAAGAGATTTGAAGCTCAGGAGCTGGAGTCAGTTTGAATATGGATAGAGGAGGTTTCAGGAGATAATTCTGAGTCACCAAGGTAGTGTGGGTCATTCCTAACACTAGGTCAAACGGGGGCGGGGCGGGGGAGAGAGAGAGAACGCTTTCCTTGAGGTATGAATATCTGTCTACAGAGACAATCTGATAAGCATTTAACAACCAAAATGTTAAAGCTAATCTTGAATAAGCAAAGTGAGGCATAGGGTGAAAGGAGAGAGAGAAAAAGTTGATTTGCTGTGCATTAGAAAGTTAATGCAATGAGGTGAGAGAAAACAGAGAGAAGGGCCCGGTGACATAGAAAGAAGCTAAGTTTTGAGCTGTGGAAATTGTTGAAGGACTGTGATGACCAATATCCGTTCTTCTCTGCTTTTTTTTTATGTTTGCCAAAAGTTATATTGAGGCGTAGATAAACTAGACATTTTTACAATTTACAATTTGGTGAGTTTTGACATAATGCGAAAACATCAGCACAAACTAGAGAACACTTCCATCATTTTTAATTCCCTTCTACTCCTCCTTGTCTTTCCCTCATCACCACACCAACACTGATCTGTTTTCCATTATTATCAGTTAGCAATTTATAGTATTTTATATAAATGGAGTCAGCCAGTATGTACTCTTTTTTTGTCTGGCTACTTTCATTAAGTGTAATTATTTTGACATTTACCTATGTTGTATGTGTATCTGATTTATCTGTGTGTGCGTGCATGTGTGATTTCTTTTGTTGGTGGGAAAGGAAAATGAGAACTTGTTCAATGGGTGTAGAGTTTGAGTTTTGCAAGATGAAAGTATAGAATCTGTTGCACAAAAACATGTATGTAGTTGATACTACTGTACACTTAAAAATAGTTATGATGGTAAATTTTATCCTATGTGTTTTCTTTATCACAATAAAAGACCCTTGAATTCCTCCTGCCTCCAAAAGAAGTGTGGTCCTTTTTTATTTACATAGATAGGCCCCAATCTGATTATTCATTCACCTGTTGCTGGACATTTGGATTATTTCTAGTTTTGGCTCTTCTAAATAGAATATGTGTACAAATATGTACAAATCTCTGTATGAACATATGCCAACAGTTATCTTGGAATGAATGCTATAAGTGGACTGGCTGTAGGACATGGAAGGTATATGTTTAAGTTTTTAAGAAAGTACCAACCTGCTTTCCAAATTCCTTCCAGCAGTTATGAGTTACCTTTGCTTACATCCTCGCCAATTCTTCATATAGTCAGTGTTTTTATATTTTAGACATTCTAATAGGTGTGTATGTGATTTTGGTTTAGATTTAAAATATTCCTTGTGACTAATAGTGTTGAATGTATTTTCATGCACTTATTTGCCATCTTTTCTGGTGAACTGTTTGTTCAAATCTTTTGTCCAGTTTTTTTATTGTGTTGTTTGCTCTTACTGAGTTTTGAAAGATATTTATGCATAACCTAAATATAAATCCTTTATCAGGTATGTAATTTCCAACTATATTCCTCTAGTTTATAGCTTGTCTTAAGAAGCAGTTGGATTTGATTTAGCATTGTCAAGAATTTTTGTACCTATGTTCATATGGGATATTAGCCTATACCTCTCAATTTGGTATAATGTTTTTGTCTGGTATGTATCAGAGTAATTAGCCTCATAGAATGGGGTGAAATATATTTTCTCCTTCTCAATTCTCTGAAGGAATGATTACTTGTCCTTAAATATTTGTTGGAATTTAACAGTGAACTCATCTGTAACTGAATTTGTGTGTTGTATGTGTGTGCGTGTGTGTGCGTGAAAGTTTTTAAATACAAATTAAATTGGGAATATAGGGCTGTTCAAGTTATTCATTTGATTTTTAATAGTTTATTTTTATTGTATTTTTTCATAACAGTTTATCCCCCTTATATCCTCTTCCACATCCCTCCACTTCCTCCCCCCTGTAATCATCGCACAGTCGTCTGTGCCCATGAGTCCTTTTTCCTCAATCCCTTCACCCCAAGCCCCCAACACAGAGCTGCTGCCTGCTCTCTCTGAGTCTGTTCTATCAAGTCATTTATCTGTGAGAGAGCTTTGATAGTTTGTGATTTTCAAAGACTTCGTCCATTTCATTCAAATTGTTGAATTTTTGGCATCAAGTTGTTTATAATATTCTCTTATTAAATTTTACTGTCTACGGAAGTTGTAGTGATTTCACCCCCTTTATTCTTGATATTAGATATTGTTGATTTTTCTGAATTTTTTTGATTAGTATGACTGGATGATTATCAACTTATTGGTCTTCCATTGGACCCTTGTACCTTCAGCCAGCAACACGGCTGAGCTCTGACTGAAGTCCATCTGCTGATAGAGTTCCCTGCTGCTAATTTCCTATCTTTTTGTCTTTATGAATATCACCTGCCTTTTGCCTCCATGCATCTTGCCTTTCTTGCTTTTCAGGAAGCCAGTGATTTCTTCCTGGATCCTTAGTCAACCACTTCTTGCTCAGGTATAGAGATAGTAGCAATAAGGTCAGGAAAGGCAAAGGGGGCTGCGAAATTTGATGTGTGGGTGAGAGACAAGTATTTCAGCCACAGCAGACTGTAGAGTTTATAAAGGGCAAGGGGAAGAACTAAAGCTGTGAGGTAGACTAGCATCAATTTCAGAAAAGTGTAAATGTCAGACTGAGAAACGGGATAATATGCAAGGTTGGGCCATTGGAAGTTTCTGCATAGGTGTGCATGATCAGAGCCTCAGTCCAAGAAGATGAATTGTGCAGCCGTGTGGGAGGAAAAGGATACATCAGTTGCCCATTTTAATAGTATAGACCAGAAAAAAGAGTTGTAACCTCAGGTAAAAGTAGTGAAAGTGGGATGTTTGGGTTCAAGAAATGTGGAAGAATAACACAGATTTCAATGTTTTGAGAAGCACTCTAAAATATTAAAGAGCTGATGGCATATGACTGTCAGTTATGAGCAGCATACCAACAATCAAGGTTTAAAAGACAGGTCTTTCATATGACAACATGATGGAAAACACTAACATGTTATGGATGAACAGAACTGTTTCAACTCATTGGAATTTGGAGAGTTCTTTTCCCAGCATTGCTTAGCAAGGCACTGAAGCACATCAACACTATCAGAACAGGTGATGAAGAAGCATTTTCCAAGCTAATTATATTTCATACATATTCATAAGCATCACATCTGAGTTTCTGAGCTATGTCTACAGTGTATGCGAAATATAAATGAGGTTTTTAAAGTTGCAAGCCATTTTGTTTCTTTTTTTAGAGATTGTATTTTTATAAGTTCTCTCTGTGTGATACATTATATATACAGATAAAAACTTATATCCCACATAATAAAATGTTATTATTTATAGACTGTTGTATGTTTTTATTAGTTAGTAATTATTTATAGAAAATGGGAAATAATGTAAGATAATTAGAGAAGATACAAACATGTCTAGAA